GAATCCTGCAAACCCTTCCCTTTACTTTCTTGCAAGTTGCATGCTTTACTTTCCGCTGCGCATATACTCTTGCATGCTTACTTGATATGTATTGTGAATGTTAAACTTGTGCCTAAACTCCACTTAAACTTAAGGAAACTTAAAAACTGCAACTTTGGTACTTAGTGTCTAATCACCCCCCCCCCCCTCTAGACACCTCTTCTCAAGGTCCTACAGGATCCCTTCTCAAAGAAGCAGAAATTCAAGGCTGATGACTTCTTCAGCGAGCATGTGTTCTTCACTGATTTCAACCCTTATGACAATGCTCGTCTTAGAAGGAAGTACTTCTGGACTGCCAGCCAGGCCAATTGCTATTCTTCTCTGCTCTTCAACAAGGACAAACTCTTCGACCACGAGCATATTCCTCGCGTGGACATGGAATCAATGCCTTGCTTCTCTCAAGTCCTCAGTATGCTTCATGATGCAGGCTTGCTCAACTTTTGCTCAGACATAGTTGATTGGAATGAAGAGCTTATTCTTCAGTTCTACGCAACGCTGCACATCACAGGTGATGTTGATGATATCAACTCTTGGGTGTTGGACTGGATAACCGAAAACACTCACTATAAGGCACCGGCCTCTGAATTACTTCATGCCCTGCAAATCAGTCCTCCACCTGAAGGTGCTCGTTGTCTGTACAAAGAGCCTGAACTCACTGCTCATTACATGCAAGTGCTCATGAAGCCTCTGAAGCCTGGTCAAGCCCCAAGGACCAAATTCCTCGTGAAGGAATTGTCGTATGGGCCAAGAACCATCTATCGCATTCAGACGAAGACTATAAGTCATATCAAAGGCCACGACTCATCTGATGAAGAAATTATTGGCATGATGAAGAATATGCTATTCAACATCATGCATGGCATCCCTATCAATTATCATGATTTCTTCATGAGGACTCTGGCAAATGTTGCACTTTCACCATTTGAGCTGAAGCCTTATGCTCCTTGGATTATGAGATTCCTCATAACAAGGTCTTCACTCAACTACAAAGCGGACTTTCAGAATCACCTCAGCTACTTGCCCCTGATTGAAGTCCTCAAGCGTACATATTCCTCAGCTGATGAGAAGGGCAAGGCACCAGCTGTTATCCATGAAGGTATTCGTCCATTGGATGGTCAGTTCCGCAAAGCTGCATCTTATTCCACCAATGATGACTATGCCACTCATGATTCTGCTGCCAATGCATCCGAGCCAAATCCTCAAGCCACTGCTCCTCGTGTGATGACTGACCGTGAGCTGCTTCTTAGTCTTCACCAGAAGGTGGATCGAAACCATCAATGGGTTAAATGTCAGTTTGGCTCTATTCTTCGCAACATGACTTCTACACATAATGCAGTGAAGAAAAACCATTACTACCTCCATGAGGTTTTTGATCGCACTTGGGCTATTCTGTCACATCTCTATGGTGAAGAAGATCTTAAGCAAATGGGCTTCAAGGAAGATTTTGACTGGTCTGCTCCTCCACCGAAGAAATTCAAGAAGGTCAAGGTTCCTTCCTTGGTCGCCAGTTCATATTCCTCATCACGCGACACAGACGAGTTTGAAGACTTGGACGACACTGCGGAAGGCCCTACAACGACTCAAGACCCCAACAACGCTGGCGCTCCTTCATCTACATGATATTCTTCAGGGGTGTTAGTCCTCATTTTCAACCCTTTTGGTCATTCGATGACAAAGGGGGAGAAATTTGAGTTAGTCTTCAAGCGGGTCTATCTTATATGGATGGTTTTTTCTAAGTTACAACTCTCATTCTTTTGATGACTTTGCTGGATCGAGTTGTAATCTTAAACTCTATGGTGGCCTGATACTTTTGATGAGTTCTTCTGCATGCTTATTCCTCATTAATGTCAATGCACGCATGCTAAATTACATCAGTCACCATATTTCATCATGCATTTCAAATTCTTCATATTATATGTCAAATGCGTGTATAAATTACAAGATATAGGGGGAGATCTCCATGATTATACTCTTCAAGTGTGCATTGCTTCAAAATCAAATTCCTCACTATGCACATCTTCAGGGGGAGTTCTTCTATATCTCGCAATCAAATTCCTCAACATCAGTATTTACACTTCATATATTTATCCCCGTTGAAAACTTAACCTATATTGTCATCAATCACCAAAAAGGGGGAGATTGTAAGTGCATCTAGTGCCCCTTAGTGATTTTGGTGTATTGAAGACTTATAGGTTAAGGGACTGATGTGTTTGTGAGTGTACACAGGTCTATAAGTCTATGAGGAGTTTGATATTTACAGAGAAAGTCGACCCCTAAAAATGAAGTTCTTCAACTAAAGACTTTGGATTTCTGAAGACTTTGAAAGTGAAGAAATTGGTGTGACCTTGAAGACTTGGCAATCATTCGAGGAACAAGAAGCGTGAAGACTTTTGTTTTTATAGTTTCATTTTCTCTTTCTTGAGTCATAGGAAACACCGTACTGTTAAAGGGGTCGAGGAAATACTAAGGAAAAATTTCCATGTGATGCTCAACTCAAAATCCTACACCTACCAATCCCTTCGAGTGAAGCCATTGGAAATCTCATACAGTTCAGTCAATTTCTTAAGTAACAGAGACGAAGTTTTTCTGGTTGCTGGGGAATTTGTTCTGACTGAGGAGTTAGGAATTTTCCAGTGCAGATTGCCTACACAGTGAGGAACATGATAGCCCTGAGGAATTTGAGAGCCAAAATTCCGCCCGTTGCTGTGCTATGCGCCAGCTGTCCCAAAATATCTACCCACCTAACGGTCATATCATTGAAGGGCATTTATGTCTTATCATGTTGGGCTGCTCCCTAGGCTATAAATAGCCGCCCCCTACAACCACTAGCTGGTTGGCTGCTCCAAGAGAAACTGACACTTGTCATTTGAGAGCATCCCGTCCTCCGAGGACTTTGAGCGAAAATCATCAAGTGAGAATACTCAAACCCAACACCTACAAACTCATAGTGATTGAGCATCACTGAAGAGATTGATCCTGCGTGGATCTAACGCTTGTTATCTTTGAAGACTGTGCTTCTTCCAGACGATTAGGCATCATGGTCTAGAGCATCCAAGAAGAATTGTGGATCGCCGAGTGACCTAGTCTGTGAAGGTTTGGAAGTCACCTGAAGACTTACCACGAGTGATTGGGTGAGGTCTGTGTGACCTTAGCTCAAGGTGAATATGGTGAGGACTGTGTGTCCGGGACTGTGTGTCCTCAGGTTTAAATACCTAGCCGCTCCAACCAGACGTACAACTGAGACAACAGTTGGAACTGGTCTACCAAATCATTGTCTTCACCAAGCTTACTGGTTCTATTTCCTCAAATCTTTCATTTCCTCATTTCTGTGGTTGTGTGCTTGTTCATATCTGTTTGAAGACTTTGACTGAAGACTTTCTCAATTTCCTCAGTTCAATTTCTTCAGTCTGTCCGTTTTCATCATGTGTCATCCTGTGTTTACGTTTCCTGTACTCTGTGCTTGTCTTCATTTCATCGTGATGACTATGCTTGTGTTATGTTATGTTTACTTCTGAGTACTTATTCCGCTGCAAGTAGTTCTTCGCTAAGGAATTTCCTCACCAGCAAATTCCTCGGTGAAGAATTCATAAAAATCGCCTATTCACCCCCCCCCCCTCTAGTCGATATAACGCACTTTCATAGCCTTTAACATCACCCCTCCAGTTAGCATTGAATCGTTATTTGGGACGTGGTTAGATGGGGTTGATCATATTACTGCGTCTTGTATTCGGATTGGAATATGTGCGCTTGTTTGGGCTATATGGAATCGCAGGAACGATATGATTTTTAATAGATAACATAATTTAACTTTCTTGCAAGTCATTTCCAGAGCTACAACATGGATTCGTACGTGGTCCTTGCTCACTTCTACGGACTTCAGGAAGCCATTTGTTATTGGGTGCAACGAGTGGGAGATGGTAGTACGGGTTATACTCAATCGGTTCGGATGGCGATCGCATAACATGATAGGAGTCTAGGGAGCTTGTCCTTTATGTTATCATTCCGGTTGTGATTTTGAATATTTACTTCTTTTTCCACTTTGCTCCACTTGTGAGTTTTAATACTTTTGTGACTTTGTGCGATTTTGAGACTTTTTAATAAGATGGCTGCATGCATCGTTCAGATGCAGAAGTCAGGGGCAAGCCTTCTTTTCAAAAAAAGAAAATCGTAGGAGGGACACCAAAAACTACTGCTGGTACACAACGGATTTTGCCAGAAAAGAGACCACCCGTCTCTTCCCCGCCGCGTCGCGCGGACCTGCAGCAGGCCCACTCCCGCCCGCGTCGCGACGCCTCGGCCTAACCGCCTCCCTTCACGACGGCAGAGACAGAGCAACCCCCAGCTCGGAATGGAGCCCACCCCGCGCCGCCGTGGCGCACGTCGCCGATCTGCCTGAGCGGTGAGCCCCGTGGAATTCGATTCGCGTCACAGCGCGCCATTAGCCCCCATCTAATTTTCCCACTCGTCGTTTGATTTTACAGCTTCCCGCACCGGAGATCAAGACGGTCGCTGTCTTCCCGCGTCTGCTCAGCTCAGGTAAGTTTCTCTGCAACCTCTTCGCTCCACTAGTATACCGTGGACCTCTCCCATTCCTTGTCGACACTGTTGCCAATTTCCTGCAGTCTAGCTTGTCATCACCAATCAACGAAGAAACTACAAGATTGGTGACGCCTATTTGGATATGGATCTAGACAATGCAAGTACGATTGTACATACATCTATAGTTTTATTATATACTAGTACATACACCATTCAAACCATTACAACTTTATTATATGGAATACATGTATCTATAGGCACCAATCCATTACAACTTTATTCAAACTACCAGATTGGTGCTGCATCTCCAATCATATACACACTATATTTGTATAAGTACACATCTGTCTTGTTACAAATATACACATCTGCCTTGTAACATCTGGACATGAAATCCATCTAGTTTCCCTTAAACAAAAGGATTAGGACCGAGCTGAGTGCGAGCTTCCAGTCATAGCTTCGAGCAGTCTTGGTAACGGGGGCATCCCGATCTCAACTAGCCCTTCGAGGATCTGAACTACATGTCCCATTGTTGGTCGATCAAGCTCATTGTCTTGGATGCACCAACATGCAACCTTGCATGCCAGTTCGGCTTCATCCAGATTGACATCACCATGTAGCATTTGATCTACCAAACTCCCGACGTCTCCTTCAAGAAGCTTATGTGCGGCATGCACAGGAAAATAAACATCAAGGTTGCCACCACTAGAACATGGTGCACATGAGTTCCTCTTTCCAGATATTATTTCCAGCAACATCATGCCTTTTTTTCGCGAATACGCAAAGATTCCGTATCATTGCATTGATAGGAGGGGGTTGAAAGTACAGAGAGACATGCCGACATTGGCCACGCGTACACAAGCCGGCGCGGGCACAAGTGGCCGGAGCAGCTAGGAGAGGGGCTGCTCATCCCTCATTACACAAAAGCTAAACCTAAATCTCAGGTATCAGGTTCGCCAAGCCGTTGGCGCCGGCACTAGCCCACAGGCGAGCGTCTTCTTGAATGGATTGCAGTAGAGCTGCGATCGAGGGTTGCCGCTGATCAAACACGCATCCATTTCGGTGCCTCCAGATGGCCCATGCGGTGAGAGCGATGATGGAGCAGAGTCCCTTCCGCAGAGCCGTGGGTGATGAAGTGCAAGCATCCATCCACCAGTCCACGAACGGTGTGTCGGGGTTGGGGATCGTGGCAGTCGATCGGCACCAAGAAAGGACCTCATGCCAAATTTGGCGGGAGAAGGGGCAGGAGGTGAACAAGTGGTGCATGTGCTCAGTGGTCTGGTCGCACAGCATGCAACTGTCATTGTGGGGCAGCCCTCGCCGGGCAAGGCGGTCGGCCGTCCAGCATCGGTCCTGCAAGGCAAGCCAGATGAATACCTTGATGCGTAAGGGGGCCCAAGTCTTCCAGGTGAGCTTCCAGGACGCGTCGGTCGTGGATCCATGAAAGAGCGCAAGGTAGCAGGATTTGGCGGAGTAGACGCCGGACTCCGTCCACTTCCATCGTAGCACATCAGGCCCAGCCGAGAGGGTAGCGTTTTGAAGCATGCGCCAAAGGTCGACATATTGAAGCAGGGCGGACGGGCCGAGCGCGCCGGCAATGTCGCGCACCCAGGCACGCTCAGGAAGTCCCTCGGCTACCGTGCGATCACGGCGATGCCGTCTGGAGACCAGGGAGAACACGAGAGGGGCAAGCTCGGGGATGGCCTTGCCATCAATCCAAGGGTCAGTCCAGAACCTGCAGGTGCGACCGTCACGCACCTCCCAAGTGGTGGAGGCCCTGAAAATCTGTGAGGCCGCAGGGTCATGGGGGAGGTGCAGATGACTCCAGGGGCGCGAAGCATCAGTATGCTGGAGCCAGAGCCATCGGGTGCGCCAGGCGACGCCAGCGCGCTGCAGGTCGCGTATCCCCAAGCCGCCGAGGAAGGTGGGGCGACACACCCGAGCCTAGTTCACTCGGCATTGCCCTCCGCGCGCGTCCTTGCGGCCAACCCAAAGGAAACTACGAATGATCCGGTTGACTCGAGCAAGGATGGACTTGTTGACGGCAATGGCGACGAGGATGTGGATGGGCATGGCGCAGAGGACGTGCCGACAGAGCGCGAGGCGATCCCCCAAGGAGAGCATGGATCCCAGCCAAGTAGAGAGCTTCCTCTCGAGCTTGTCGACGAGCGGCAAAAGGTCGACTATCGAGGGCTTACGGAGGGAAAGCGGGAGGCCGAGGTACTTCACCGGAAAGTAAGAGATCGGGCAGGCCATCTCAGTCGTGATCGCGGCAATGTGCCCCTCGTCGCAGCGTATGGGAGAGGCCGGGCACTTGGCGAGGTTTGTGCAAAGCCCGGACGCCTTGCCGAAGACGTCCAAAATGCGGCGAATGGCGCGGATGTCATGGGTGTCGGGGTGGCTGAAGATGACGACATCGTCGGCGTAGAGGGAGACGCTCGAAGCCAGGTGCCGCGCGGTCAGTCGCTGGAGGAGGCCGCGCTCGACGGCTCGCTGAAGGAGCGAGTTGAGCACGTTGATGATGATGACGAAGAGCATAGGGGAAATGGGGTCCCCTTGCCGTAGCCCGCACGCGTGAAGAATTGGTGGCCCGGGGATGCCATTGACAAGCACACGTGTTGATGCGGTAGAGAGCAGGATGGAGATCCATTCGCACCATCGGTCTCCAAAGCCTAGGTGCTTTAGCGTGTCCAGCAGAAAGGGCCATGCCACCGAGTCGAAAGCCCTTGCGATGTTGAGCTTGAGGAGCATCCGCGGCATCTTGAGGTTGTGAAGAAGTCTAGCCGTCTGTTGAACAAGGAGGAAGTTGTCGTGGATGCTTCGGCCGGCGATGAATGCACTTTGATTGGTAGAAACCATCTTGCCCAGGTGAGGTGCCAGCCGAAGAGAGAGCGCCTTCCCGAACAGCTTCGCAATGAGATGGATGAGACTAATGGGGCGATAGTCGAAGAGAGATGCCGCATCTTGCTTCTTCGGAAGGAGGGTGAGGAGCGCCTCATTGAGCCTCTGGAAACCGCGCCCGTTGAGTGCGTATAGCTTATCGAAGACGGCGCATATGTCATGCTTGATCATGTCCCACCCACTCCGGAGGAATTCGACGGTGAAGCCATCGGGGCCGGGCGCCTTCCCGAGCGGTAAGCTTTTGACCGCAGCCCAGATCTCGTCCTCGGAGAAAGGTGCGTCGAGGCTGGAGAGGTCAAATGGCCCAACGTGGAGCGCGGAGAGGTCTAAGGAGAAAGGCCGCGGCTTCGCCGATCCAAGGATGCCGCAGAAGTGACCATAAGCAGCTTCAGCAAGAGCGGCCGGGTCGGAGACGGATGTGTCTCCGACCTGCAACTCGATGATCCGGTTCTTCTGCTTGCGGTGCGCTGCATGCACCTTGAAGAACTTCTGACCCGCGTCGCCGTCCCGCAACCAGGATAGCCTGACACGCTGGCGCGAGATCGAGCGCTCGAGGGACGCCAGCCCCAGGTACGCCCCTTTGAGGCGCCTACGTAGCCAGTCCTCGGCCGTGGAAAGGGGCCGGAAGTCCTGCGCCGCATCCAGGCGCGTGATCAGCTCACGAGCGACGAGGAGCTGCCGGGACACGTCCCCAATCTTCTTCGCGCTCCAGCTTTGGATACGCGGCGCAGTGTTCTTGAGGCGTGCCACCAACCTGCGGAAGGGGTCCGGCTCGTCGGCCGCAGTAGCCCAGGCCTCGAGCACGACCTGCGTGTAGCCATCAGTGCGCGGCCAGAATCTTTCGAAGTGGAATCTCCGCGTGCCAGGCGAGCGCGCAGTGCAGTCGAGAAGGAGAGGTGCATGATCGGACGCTGCGGAGGAGAGGCAGCGTAGCATGCAATGCGGGTGGAGCGCTTCCCATGCAGAATTAGAGATCACCCGGTCAATGCGCGTGAGGGTGGGGGTGCCGCGTTCGTTTGACCAAGTATCTTGTCGCCCGTGCAGGTAGATATCACGCAGTTCCTCATCGGCGAGGAAGCGGCGGAACCGTGACATGACCCGGTGATTGAGCCGGGAGTTATTCTTGTCCGCAGCCCCTGAGATCATGTTAAAGTCGCCCCCAAGGATCCAAGGGCCAGCACGCAACGATCGGACCTCACTGAGGTCACTGAGGAAAGCGATCTTGTCATCATCACCTTGTGGGCCATAAACGCCAGTGAGCCACCAGTGGTGGGCGCCATCGAGAGAAGAGGCCAGCGCAGTGATGTGGTGTTCACCGCGGCATGGATCAGAAAGCGCGATCATGTTCGGGCGCCAAGCAAGCAGGATACCCCCACGGGTCCCATCCACGGGAAGGAAGAAGAACTCAGAGAAGGACGAGCCGAGCGTCTCAGTGACAAGCGAGGACGAGAGAGAAACCATCTTAGTCTCTTGGGTGCAAACAATACAAGGCGAGGCAGCGGTGATCACGCTGTGAACGGCGGTGCGCTTGGCCGGGGCATTAAGGCCACGCACGTTCCAGAATACAATGCGAAGGTTGTGATCCATGAAGAGAGGTGGAGTCCTGCGGTGGCCTAGGCAGCCACTAGGCCTCGACAGCGCGAGGCAGGGGGGAGGGTGAGTTGACAGGCGGGTCGAGCAGCTCGGGGATGCGCCAGCCGAAGAGATCGGCGAATGCCTGCAGCACATCGTGCGCCAGCGGCCTCTGGAAGAGGCGCTCGTACTTCGCCAGGGTTGCAGCGGAGATGGGGGCGTCGTCCGAGACAGAGCCCGAGGCGACGGAGGAGCACCTTCTTGGCCTTGAGCTCAGAATTGAGGCCACAATCAGCCTTGGCAATCCTACCGCTCCGACGGGGCGTGAAGTTCGGCGGTAACTTCTTCCTATGGAAGCGGGAGGGGGGCGCAGGGAGAATCTGCATGATCGGCCTCTGAATGGAGCCTAAAAACGCGTTCACAGGTTCCACGTCGGCATGCACGCCACGTGGTGAGTCCGGGCAGCTGCATGGGAAACAACATTCGCCGAGGGCGCGGGATCACTCGGGATCAGAGCGTGCGAATCTTCCGCAGCGGGATCCGAGGCGGGGGAGGGGAGTGGCCCAATGGCGGGGCAGCGCAAGGGGCCCGGTGGGTCCGCGCCTTGGCTGGACAGCACCAACTATCCCGCAGGGGGAGGGGAGGATGGCCCGCTTTCGCATTCCTCGGGATCTGCCAGCGGGTTTGTCGCGGATCCTGGTGGGGCCGCACAAAGCAGCAGCAGGCCAGGGGCGATCACTGGGGCGGGATCAACCTGGGGTTGCGCGCCGGTCTCCAGCAGGTGCTCGGGCGAGTCAGGCGATGCCACGTTGGCAAGCGGTGCGGTGGTGAGCGCGGGAGCAGCGACCCGGTCAACACGGTTAGAGTTTGAACTGGCCGCGCCCACGGGCTGGGACGGGGCGGGACGGCCAGCTGTCACTGCGGCTTTCTGGAAACCTGCCTTATCCCCCAGGCGCAGCTTTGCCGGGCCCCGCGTGACGCCAGCCTCGACCGGCGGGTACGGCCCGAGAACCCCATGCCAGATGCGCGAGACGGCGAGCGGGCGGTTGCGGCGGCGACCTCCACGGCGGCGATTGGAGCGGCCGGACTGGCGCGAGGGGCCGGCGGCATCACGTTGTGGCGGCGCCGGAGGGTGATCATAGTGGCGCGGCCAGGGCGCAGGACAGGGTGGAGAGCCCTGGCCGGGGCCAGCGCCATCATCAGAGTCGGGGCCTGGAGAGACACGCGGCGGCGGAGGCGGCGGGACGGGTCGACGGAAATCCTCGCAGCGGGCCACATGAATCGCTACTGGGAAACGCAGTAGGTCCATGCCAAGGCGCTCGGCAACGTCCGGGTCCTCGTCGACGGCAACGCCATCACGCACCGGGAGGAAGAGGTCGGCAGCGAGGGGGATCGCGTCAGGGTTGGTCGTCCAGGTCGTGAGCCGGAAGATGTCCAGGTCGACGCCACGGCGAGTGCACGCTCGAGGTGCTCCACCAGGCAGAACGGCGAGAGCAGCGTGACCGCGGTGGCGCGGTGCCAGACATGATCAGGCAACATCATGCCATAGCTATAGACATCAACTTTTGGTGTAATTGCAACTCCAGTAATCCATTCAGGTGCAAGGTACCCTACAGTTCCTCTTATCGTAGTCAGTACTCGGCTATAATCCCTTCTGAAAAGCTTTGCCATCCCAAAGTCTGCAATTTTGGGAACGAATAAAGTATCGAGAAGTATGTTTTCTGGCTTAATATCACAGTGTATGATGCAGTCCCGACAACTCTCATGCAAGTAGGCTAACCCTCTGGCAACTCCCAGGGCCATCTGATACCTAACTGTCCAATTCAATACCATAGACTTGTTTCCAAATAGATGGACATCCAGTGAGCGATTTGGCATGTGTTCATAAACAAGCAACCTCTTAGAACCCTCACAACAGAAACCAATAAGCTTAACTAGATTGATGTGCTGGATTGCTCCAATCGAGCTCACTTCAGCTCTAAATTGCTTCTCTCCTTGATAAGCACCATCAAGCCTTTTCACGGCTATGCCAGTTGAGTCATTTAAAACCCCCTTGAATACAGAACCAAAACTGCCTGCCCCTAACTTATCTGTGAATTTTGTCGTGGCATGTTGTAAATCAGTGTATCTAAATGCAATGATTCTGTTACAGCCTTGAACACCATCCAGTATACGGTTAGAGCTCTTACTCTTGTTTCTCCAAATCTTTACCAGGATAAGAAGTGCACATAAACCCAGAGCAGAAACACCTGCAACAGTTGAAACTCCAATAACAATCTCCTTTCTGTTGTTTTTCACTATGTGGAAATCTTTAGCAGAAACACGAAGGTGAAGAGTTTCTCCAGTTGAACTTGAAGTGCCACTACATTCTAGCGCTCTTATATTGAGCAATTCATTATGCCAGATAGAGCATCTTTCATTGTTGAAGGAATATGCGGTGCAAGAGCAATTACTGAGGCAAACTTGTGCACACTCACTCGTGCTTGCAGCAGCTTCTAGTTTTGAGGCATTGTTGGGCAACTCAACACATTGCACAGAGTAGAACTTGTCTGTTGTATGAGTTGTGCTTTTGTTGCTAATGCAGTCTAACGGAGTATTTCTTGAGCACCCACCAGTTCGATCTTCTAGCTCCCAATCCTTGGGGGATGTTATGGTGAAGCCCTCCATGCAATTGCAATGTGGAAGCGCGTTATCATTGCAAATTGTGAAAGGTCCACAGATTGCATAGACATCACACTGAAGTTTCGGTTGGGCATAGATCATTGTCCAGTCCTGTGAGCCCTCCAACCAAATGAGCGTTTTTCTTTGACCTGAGACGTCAATTACACCACGAGTAACCATAGATTTATCGACTATGTTATCAATAAAATACTTCTCTTGGTCATTGGTGACAAATGTACTGGTGAAAACTGGGTTGTTGTTTGACATCTCTGGTATTGAGGCAAAGTATTTGCCATTCCATACACCGGCGACCAATATGGTATGGAGGAGTTCAATGGTGTAAGCAAGAACTGATTGAGACCACTCGGGTCTAACCCATCACAGTACATACCAGTAGTTGGGTCGTTCAAGTTCTTCCAAGAAACTAGACGGCGGTTTAGACCAGTGAGCTTGTCCCATCCAAGCTTTGCACCAGGGAAAACTGTATCTGTGGGGTGATCAAAGCTCTGCCACAGAACCTCTGATGAGTTTGAAGAGTCTGTTAGGATCAGATTTCCACTACTCAAGAGCATAGCAGTGGTGCTATTTCTTGTGATGTTTCCTTGTGTACTCCAGATTATGGACCTGGTAAACCGGTTTAAGATGACAAGGTTGCCATCGTGGGAGATTGTGAGCTCTGGTGAGGTGGTGTTCTTGATTGGTGTATCCCTATTTGCGACCCATGCAGAAGTAAATTTGGGGACTGTATTGAACCGTATGCCAAGGTACCAGTTGGTGGTGTCTTGGGAGGATTTTCTGCTGCTTGTGTTGAAGAAGCCAAGCGCGTACCTGCCATTCTTGGAGACGAGCTTGTCGTTGATACCAAGTGCTTGGCCGGCCAAGATGGTGTCTGTCGTGGCAGATTTTGCTTGGGTGCACAGGAAGAGCAAGGTGAAATCTATGAGGAGATGCATGATGAACTGAAGAGGATGGCAAACTTGAAGATGCAGATACTGCTGATATAAATGCTCAAGCCTCGGTGGTCTGGTCATAGCAGTAAAAGGCACGGTGGAGTCAAAAGTCAAGAGTTCACAATAACCATACAAACCGGTGGAAAACCGTGTAGCATCAACAGTCTTATTCTGGACTCCTTTTTGCTTTGACAGCAGTGAAAAACTTGCTTTGGACTGGGTCTGCGTGGTGGAAACTGGAGAGTGGAGAGGAAAGAGACATGCGTGGCTGTCACTTCAGACGCTAGCTTGATCTTAAGGTGCCATATTTTGAAGGAAAAATAAACGGCAGTTAATACAAATCATGTTAAGTTTTTGTTGGTATTATACACTGCTGTAAAGTGTTCTTTTGATCAGACTATTGGTATTCTTTTATGTATTTATAAGAGGGCAACAACCATGGGACGGAGGGAGTACTTCTCATGAGGCTACAACTCTGTAGCTGATCTGATTGCTTTTACTTCTGTATATGCACTTCACTATGTAATCTCACGAAGTTCTGTTATTTCCTTCCCTGTATTGACTACAGCTCGATCCTTGATGATCTAAAAAGAAAGCCTTGTACCTATTGTCAGTCTTGTCTCTCTGTCCAAAGAAATCTATTATTTTTTTTATATGAATGAACTTTTTTTTTGTTTTGCTGTCTATAGAATTATTTTCATACGGATCAATTTGCACAGTTGTTTACACTATTGCTTTGTGCATTGAGTGCAACCTCTTCAGAATATTCCTTTACTTTTTATTTGAGTAATGAAATATCTTTTCAATACTGTTGAATTTTAAAGGGATTTAAATTAAAGGGACATAATACTAGAAATATATGTTTTTTTTTCTTTCCGTGTTTTGACTGAGTGCATCCCTGTAGGCATAGAAGACTATCGTGTGGCCTCACTCAGCGTGTGGTGCTACCGTTGTGGCCTCACTCTGTGAAAATCTGTTTCTTTAGACATAGTCGTGATTTTTGTCGTGTCACAGGAATTCAGATGCCATTTAAAACGCTAGCTTGATAGAGAAGAAGTTACAAAACATAGTATGGATAGTAGTTAATTAAAACTAGGTTGTGGATAAAACTATCGCAACTGAATTTGCTGTTTTGTTTCATGAGCTGCGCTTTGAATCTGGACCTAAAACTTCACAAGATGATAAACCCTTGTGAGAACAAGAGAAGAACAAGACAGGATGTGTCACCTACTCACCTTGTGTCACTTGAGTCATGCCGCTCATAAAGGCGGGAAAATAACAGATACAGGTCGTCGGAGTCGATAATATATAAGACACAGAGAAGATTAGTGTATTTGTGTAGTGCGGAAGCTTCTTGATGCGGACATTGTGAAAATCAATGTTGATGCTAGTTTTCAACAAGTTGCCTATGAGGATACTACAGGGTGTCTGATGACGTTTGGAAATGGAAGACTCCAGGCTGCTGCCAATGTCTTAGCGATGTGGTGTTCAGATAGAGGTTGATGTAAAAATGACCAAGGTAATGCTAGAGAGTGATGCCCATGTGGCTACAGGACTCGCGGCAATGGGCACCAGCCGTTTTCACCGGAAGACAACACACGCGTACGTGTACAGGTAGAGCAGCTGGATCGATTCACAAAAAGGTTAGCTAGCTACTTAGTATTGAAAAACGCACACAAGCAACACACGAAGGGACCTGCCGGCGTAGCAGAGGCCGTCGTTGATGGTGGGGTTGTCGTGCTCGCAGCCACCGTCATCCGGCGCACCCTGACTCTCGCCCGGAGAGGAGCCACTGCCTCAGCTGCGTATGCCCGGAACTCGGGAAGCACCTGATTGATTTGCTGTGCATGGTGTCCATGTCCTTGAGCACGTCATCTGTGTGGAACGCAGAGATGGACTGCCGGAGTCGAGCCCGGACGTGGATTCGTTCAGCAGCACTACGGTAGGGTCATGCACGAGGTCACCGATGGACATCCTCCGCTCGCCCCCGGGCACATCAATGACCCTCGAGTTCGCGACATGCCGCATCCCATGTGCTGTACATCAGCTACTCCTCCCAGCGCGGTGGGGTGTAACCGAGAGCAGTGGTGCTGGCCTGTTGGACGACGACTAGGCAGCGAAGAGTACGGCCGGTCTTGTACGCGGCGAGGAAGGAGGCCACGGACTGCCACGGTGAGGGTAGGGAGCAGCGCTTGGAAGAGGAGGGTTGAGGGCAGGAGCGGCTGGAATGGAGGTCTACCGTCTACGCCATGCTCGGCTTCTCCTTCTTGGTCAGCTGCGCAAAGCTGCTCATCGGAGGCACGACGAGGCGAGGGGAGGTGCTGGGCATGGCCTGGGCGTCGATGAAAGGCACGCCATGTACCTGATGTGCGGCCCACCACCCGTCCGAAAATGTGCCAGGACGCACGACAAGTGTTCGATAAAATGCCAGCCAAAACCATGCCACGTCATCAACAAAACCACTTGAAGCGGTGCGAGGGACTAAAAGTAGGCGAGCACTAGGCGCCGGTCACACCTGCAACGTACGATCGCTTGAGATCGAGCGCCCCGGATCTCTTCTCAGACTGGGTCGTCTTCTGATCGTACCCCTGTCTGTCGCATCAGCTAATAGTTCCCTTGCACGCCATTATATTGAGCGCGCTCCTCCGGCCAAGCAGCCCGACGCCCTACTCCGGCCACCACCCCGCCGTCGGTAGCCGCCCGCCTCCCTCGTCGCCGGTCGCGGTCGCCGTCAATTAAGCGCACTCGCTGTGACCTGTAGCAAGCCGGCTCCGGCAAAATCCGATCATGGTCGTAGCATCTCCACATACTGGTTCTAGCATATCCAAGCCATGGTTGTAGCTTTCCTCGCTCCAGAAAAAATCCGGCCATGGTTTGTAGCATCCCTGCAGGCAGTTCAAGAAGCCATAGTTGTAGGCTGTAGCATCCTCAGGCTGGTTAAAACTTTTTTCATAGCCGCTTGCAGCTCTCGTCAACACTCGTTCCAGCTTTTGCCGTCGTCCCATAGTTTCCCGGCGTCTCTAGTTGAAGCTTTTCCGCAGCTGGTTGTAGCTTTCTCTGCACCAGTTTGAAGCTTTTTTGCTTGGATGTCCTCGCCCCCAACTTCCTGAAGGAAATATGCCCTAGAGGCAATAATAAAGTTATTATTTATTTCTTCATATCATGATAAATGTTTATTATTCATGCTAGAATTGTATTAACCGGAAACATGATACATGTGTGAATACATAGACAAACTTAATGTCACTAGTATGCCTCTACTTGACT